ATAACAGTCTAAACCTATATTTTTTATGTTTTCATTCAGGAGCGAAGAGGAGCCTTTTGGACAGGAGTCCCCATCCTTTATACATCATTTAGGTAGGACAAGTTCAGAATGCATGTTTTTCTAAAAGCATGATCAAAAACTCAATCCACTGCTATTGAGTAGTCAATTCTGACTCTTGGCAACCCTATTTACAGTTTCTAAGACTTTAAATCTTTACAAGAGCACTCAACTTCCTCTCAAGGAGTGGCTGATTAATATGAATTGTCAACCTTGAAGATAGAAATGCCATGCTTATCCCATAGAGATACCAGGACTCTTTAAGAGCATGAAGGACTGACAATTTCTGGTCTGCACATGTAAGTCAGTGTTTGGGTTTTTTAAATGGACATGTAGGGTAATTAAAGGTCAACAAACTAGAAAGCAGTCATGTACTGTCTGTGGATTACCTGGAATTGGTTAGAAATAGCAAATTTTTTATAAGATCTTGGAACCACTGTGCCAAGGGGTTTTTAGGAAGTTTATGGAAATGTATATTATGAAAACAACTGCATGGGTTTCAGTTTTAAAAGCACTGAAATAAACTACCACTAACTTGTTATGACAGGTCTGAACAGGATTCCGTGTGAGGCACTAAAAAGAATAACACATCAAGTTGAAAAGAGCCCCTATCAGAGCAACATGAATACTGCTAAAATAGAAATAAGAAGAAACATCAAGTTTATGGTGAAACTTGGATGGAAGAATAGTGAAATCATTGCTGCTTTACGAAAAGTTTATGGGGACAATGCCCCAAAGGAATCAACGGTTTACAAATGGGCAGCTCGTTTTAAAAATGGACGAGACGATGTTGAAGATGAAGCCCGTAGTGGCAGGCCATCCACATCAATTTGCAAGGAAAAAATTAATCTTGTGCCCTGATTGAAGAGCATGGATGGTGAAATGCAGAAACAATAGCTAATAACGTAGACATCTCAATTAAGTCAGCTTATACACTTCTCACTGAAAAGTTGGGCAAACTTTCTATTTAATGGGTTCCAAAGCTATTGCACTCAGATCAGCTGCAGGCAAGAGTTTTCAGTGGACAGTTTATGTACCAGTCGGTTAAAGATCTGGTTGTAACAAGATGAAATGTGGCTTTACCAGTATTTCCTGAAGACAAAGCACATTCAAAGGATAGTTTTCAAGAAGTAGAAGTGGCCCATTTAAAGCCAAAGCAGACCATCCATTCAACAAAGATCATGGCCACAATTTTTTTTGGATGCTAAAGGCATTTTGTTCGTAGACTTTTTTGAAGGGCCAAAGAATAATAAAATCTGCTTATTATGTGAGTGTTCTAGAAAAGATAGGCAAAGCTCCAGCACAAAAATACCGAGAAAGCTTCGCCAGAGTCCTTCACACCAGTGTCTCTGCGTGTTCCTCTCAGCAAGCCAGGGCAATTTTGTGAGTTTGGATGAGAAATGTTTCTTAATCTTTTTAAAAAAAA